CCCCGCGCACCCCTTGGGCCTGCGGCCCCCCAGGAGCATTCGTTGTCCCCACGCACCAACCCGGGCCTTCGCGCGTCCTCCGAGTCTGACCGTCCCCTGCGCATTCCTCGTGTCCCCTGGGGCCCTCCTGTCCCCTGTGTCCCCCGCACCAACTCCCTAGACCACCAGGTTCCCCGCGCCCCTCAGTCTCCCGCAGGGCCTGGCGGAGGTGGGCAGCGGGAGGACCAGGGCCGCCGGCGGCAGTGCCCTCGCCCGCTTCACCCGCCGGAGGGGTTCCTGCCAGCCGGGGCACTGGGGCGCCCCCCAGGTTCAGCGTGTGGAATTGGTCCTCCATGATTCCATTCTAGGGTGTCTTCTTCATGCCTGAGCCTCCTCATCCTCCAGCAATGCCTTTTCTGCGTTTTTTACACAAGACCATGGAGAACAAATGTCTGGGGCAGGGGTGGCTCCTGACCCTGGGCTCACAGTGAACTTGGGGACCCAGGCCAGTAGGAGGCAATGACCAGAGCCACCCACTGGGCCCACGAGGCAAGGAAGGTGGGAAAAGGCCCTAGGAAAGGACATCGAGGTTTGGGGGCCAAGGCGTCCCCTCCCCCATCGTTTTGGCGGCCGTTCTGATCGGTCACCAGATGCTGAGACCTAGGAAAAGCTGTTCCTTGTATCCACAGTATTACATAGTTGCTTTTCTCTCCCGTTCCTGGTGTCTACAAGTAGTTTTACAGAAACAAGTCAGCCCAAGCAAATGGACTCCCTTCCCCTGCCCTCCCGTTTACCACCCTAAATCCCCCAGGAACGCTTTCTCCTTAAAGGACCCCAGCCGGCTCCCTCCTTTGGAAGAGCCTCCAGCTGGAACCCGGTAGCTGGAATCACAAACAGCTGCCGCTGCTTAAAGCCAGGGGGGGGGCGCTCCAGAGAGCAGAGGGAAGCAGCTTCCCACGGTTCCTGCTCCTTTCCTTTGGGATGAGGACAGCGTGAGGGTCTGTCTGTCCTGGGCCAGCGGACTGCCTACTGTCCTATGCTGCAGTTCCTGTCAGGCGACCGCCTGTGTGTCTCACACCTATGAGATGGGAGGTGTTTGGAGGGTGGGTACAGTCCCCTGTGAGTACAGGCTGTGTTTGGTGGCAGGGCAGGAGACAGACACCACTGACCTCAGCACTTGGCATGCTACACTAAGGGACAGTGTGAGGTACAGATGAACGAGCCACCTGACACTGTATCTGTGCGCCAGCATCTGACCCAGGCAAAGAGCACAACTGGGGGTCAAGTGAGGAAATGGGTGACTAGCCGTGCACATGGGGGCTTGGCACCAGCTGCCCGCCGCAGCAGAGCTGTACCAGGCACTGCTCTGAGCCCTTCCTGGACGTGACAGCCCTGTCCCATCCCCATTTGATGGTTGAGGAGACACACAAAGTTATGCAACTGCTAAGGGATGGAGCCAGGGCGGGGGCCCACACAGTGGCCCAGAGCCGCCCCAACTCACCCCTATGGTGGAAATGCTTAAATTCTTTTGCAGGTGGGGCGGGGCACAGACAGAAAAACACACTGTGCACTATGCCTGGAGCTCTGTACATTCATTTGATTTCTAAGGTGCGACCACATGGACACAAAATATTAGTGAGGATGAGATTGTGGCCTTCTCTATTTTCAAGCTCCCTCCAGTGGTCAGATATCACTTTGGGGATCAGAGGGGTTTTTGGGGGGTTTTTTTGGCCAGAACCTCTCATTTGCATTGTCAGTCTCTGTATCTGGAAATGACTGTGTTCATCTTCCTGCTGCGGACCGCAGGTCCCAGGGTGAGGGCCCTGAATGTGGGGAGCACGACCATGCAAGTGAGCCTGGCATGGTGTGACATCCTCCCGCCCCCAAATGCTTGGAGTGCATCTGCTCTTTCTGGTGGCTGTTTTTTTTTTAAAGCAGGAACTTGGTTCAAGAGGGCTCTCTCTGGACAACAGAGTTGTCCAGGCGTGGTTGGGGAGGAAGCCCCGAGGAGGGGGTTGTCCAGAGTCCTGGGGTCCCAGGAGGGCACCTGGAAAACCTGACAGTTTTTTAAATGAATTAAAGCATCAAATTTCCCAGTGGTGCAGTGGGACTCCCGCTGCGTTGAAGCCCCAAGTCTTGCAAGATGGCACAAGGTTGAGGTCAAGCCTTGCAGCCTCTGCCCCAGTGTCCCACCCATCGTGGCTGGGGGTCCCTCCACCCACAGGTCGGGGTTCTCGCAACTCATTGGTCTATTCAGCCTGAATTAAGATGACATACCCCAGGCGTGGGGATGTGTTGTGGCCCCAGGCAAACACGGCCCCTGCGGGCGAAAGACGCCTCTGGTGTAGGACGGTGAGGCCCACACAGGGTGCGGGGACTGCGGTCGAGTCCCCGCACACCTGCAAGCAGCAGGCTCAAATGAACGGAGTTAGCGAGAGAAGGCATGCTGCTGCTTTCACGTGGGAAAGCTGGTGTGCTCCTCCGCACTGTTGCCCTTGGAGTGGCTCCAACCTGTCAGGTGAGTGGCCGGGGCCCCCCAGAGAGCCCTGCAGCCTGCTCCAGCCTGCAGCTCTGCGTGCCTTCTCTTCCTTCTAGGAGCGGGATGAGGAAGCCGCCCTGGGTGGAACATGTCCCTGTCCAGTCCATGCTCCTGGCAGAGGACTGCACTTCAGAAACCCCTGGACGTAGCCTGTCACATCCACTCCCGTGGGGGGAACACGTCATGGGGCTGAGCCACCATCACTGAGGTGGGGACAGAAACTGCACAGCAGGCACAGCATGTCACAAGGAGTGTCCAGGGAGGCAGTCCTCTCACGGGAAGGGAACACTTGTGACCAGAAATCCAGACAGCCTCCTGGTGCAGGGCAGGTAGGAAGGACCGCTGGGAGCAGAAGGCGGCTGCAGAGCGCCAGGTGCCAGGGCCTGTCTGAGATGCTCCGTGAAGGTGGGACAGGGATGTGGACATTTGGTCCAAGAATTGCACGTGGCGGATGGACACCTGAAGGCAGCACCAATAACCCATCCGTTGATATTGAACACAAGGCTAGAGACTCAGACACTTGGAAGTGCCTGCCTGTCCTATCAACTTGTCCACCCCTGACAAGATCCTGCATTTCAGGAGTCATGGCACCATCTGGCATGTCCCCTGGATGCCCTGTTAAGTGGCTGGTGTGGCTCAGGTGCCCATGAACCCACTGCTGCTGACAGACTGCTACAGAAGCTAAAATTCTATCAGGAGCCGCCCATTGAAAACAGCCCAGGTGACCCTCACAGAGTTGAGTTGAACATTTGTTCATTGGTTCCTTTAATAAGCCAATTTCGAACACTGGGAGCACAGGGGAAAAAAAGCATAGTTCTTGCCCTCACAGAGCTTGTGTTCTCCTGGATAGAGAAAATGAACCAGTCAGCTAACACACAAACACTGTACTTTCAGAATGGAAGTATAAAGCAGGTGTTGTGACTGGGACAGTGCAGGGAGGGTGATGGCTGAGCTGAGGACCGAAGGACAGCGAGGAGCCCCTGGGAAACGTGTCTGCATGGCCTAGGTTCTGGAAGAGTAGAGTATTCCCCAAGGGTTTAGATGGGGCCTGCCCTCAGCCTGGTTTGAGCTAAAAATTCTTGTTCCCTGTGTGGCCTCGGAGACCCTAAGCCAAGACATTATCCCAGAGTTCCAGGTTAGGGGGCCCTGGGCGGCTGGTGGGAGCAGCACACATCCTTTCACCCCATACTGTGCAGGACTGCCACAGAGAAAGGCACCCAGGCAGGGGATGACAACACCAAAGGAAACCAGCCACCATGCACTAGAGGTAGAAGAATCAACCATGAAGGACACTAGATACTGGAGTTATTGCCCACAGACAAAAACACAAGTAGGTTCAAAATAAACATGAGGATGAATAAGGTAATAGAAAAACCAAGACCAGGCAGATTTCAAAAACAAGCACCAAAGAGAACTTCCATAAATAAAAAAAAAAATCAAAGTTTGTAAAGTTCAGTGGGTGGGTTAAAAGATTGGATGCAGCTGAAGACAGAATCGGTGAAGAGGAAGGTAAGTCTGGAGACATTAAATATCGGGTTGTCAGAAAAGTCATGAAGCATTTTTGCAATAGAATACGTAGAAAAAATAGGTCATGACTTTTCCGACAACCCAATAGATGCAGCACTAACAGAAAATGCAAAAGAGAGATCAAAAGTGTGGAGACAGGTGTGCAGATGTATAATATACCTTTGCTCATAGTTCTCGGACAAAAGAGAACAGACAATGGGGGAGCCCATTCCTCCAGCGAGACCCCTCACAGTAGTGCAGCTTTAGGGCACAGCGTTCTGAGCAGGTGAGTGGAGTAACAGAAAGTGTGGTTGTCCCACCGACAGCTGGAACAAGAATTGTGGGAGGCAGGCGGTCGGCTGCACAGGGAGGAGCAGTCGGCGGTCAGGGTCTCTGCTCTTGTTCCGTGTCCACTGTGGGAAACCACTGGGAGTTTTTCCATAGT